TAAGAACCCTAGTATTACCCAAAAAGTACATGTTATAACATTCCCAACTTATCAACATTCGACGAAACTTATTTTCTTCAATTTACTTAGCTCCTAAGCCTTTCAACCCTCTTGGTAGTTGTTATCCATGATCTTAAAGATTTGTCACCTCCAAGGTAACATGATTAACTTAATTTATGTACTTTCAAAGATGATCTCATTTCTGAGCTTACATTTATTGACTTATGATGTACTCTTACGTACGCAAATATGGGGTGTAACACTTCAAGACCTTTGGGCTCATAGAGTTCCTTTGCCTCGACCTCGAGCCTCTTGGCTTCTTCGATCTCGGTTGACAGGTCAAATCCTCGGGCATGAATCTCTTCGAGGGCCACCTCCACATAAACTTTATACTAGGCCAACATTTCTTCTACCTCGGAGGAATCAATCGAGATTGCCTCTAATTTGGACTTCAGCGCAGTGTATTCCCGGCCAAGATCGTCCCGCTCCGAGATGGTTGAACCCAATTGTGATCGGAGTTCGTCATTTAACTGAGACCACTTGTTGGCTTTGTCCTTTGCCTCCCGGAGCTGGTCCTTGATCGATGCTAGCTCCTCTTTTGTGGCCTCCTTTTTCAAATCCAGCAGGTCCATCCTGCCCTTTAACGCCTCGGCCTTGGTCTTGACCTCATCCATATCGGCCTGAAGCTAGTCAATCAAGTCTATCTTCTCTTGGAGCTGCGAAGTTGTGTCATTAGTCATCACAAGTAGCTTCTCATTTTTAGCCTCAAAGATCTTTACCTTCTTGACCAGTTCGGCATGCTCCTGTTTCACAGACGAGGCCTCCTTCTGTGCCTTTCCAGCTCGACTCGAAGAATTGGGAGGTCCTCGAGAGCCTCGTCTTGTTGTTCACTAAGGGCCATGTACATGTCCTTCTTTCGGACCTGCTCTTTGAGCTCAAACTCGAGCTGGATGATTTCCATTCAGGACCAAAAGAAGCTTTCATGGTGGAGCACCGAAGCCTGAAAAATAACAAGGTCATTAAAACATGCTAAAGCTAAGCAAAATTCGCAAAGAATACAAGGAGTAGACGCCTTACCTAGTTCAGTGCATGTTACGCCTCGTTGAAGAGGCTCGACGTGCCTACTTGGTTTATCTTCGCCTGGTCCTCCTCGGTCACCAAGCAACGAAGATAGCTGGCCAAACATACCAGGGCGAACATCACTCGGGCATCCACCGGTATAGTAAGAATGACTGTTCTTTTACGATCGGGATCCACACTCGGGGTAGGGAACTGCCTCACTAGCTTCAGGATCGAGATCGGCTCACCGGCCCCCGATGGAACATCCTTTTTTGGGACCTCCAGGTGACCAAGCCTGAAATAATCATCCTATGCGCTCATTTCCATGCCATCGAAAAACATGTTGAGGGCATCTTCTCTGCTCGGTGCTATCTCGTTTGATTTTTCTTTATCTGCTTAAGCCTCTTCAAGCATGGACTCTGTGTGGGATGGCGTTTCCACGATGTCAATGACACTGACTGCCTTCTCGGGAGGTCGTGGCCTCCGATTCTCCTTCTGTTTCCCGAGCTAAATGAGAATCGACTTCTCGGTCACCTTCCCCGGTCGTCTCCTACTCTCCCTCATTGATGGTCGACCCATGAGCAATGAACTCAAGATCATCATCCTCAGGGTAATCCTTAAGTCGTCAGAGGGAATCGGGGTCCGGTACCCTGGCTTTGGTGTTCTTTTGTTGCTTTTCCGGACCCGGACAACAACCCACTTCTTCTTCACCTTGGCGTCCGGGGAGCCAGATGATTTCCTCTTTTTATTTTTCTCCTCTTTTGCGGAAGCTCTAGGCTGTCCCAAAGCGGAGGGTTCAGCAAGCGAGGATGGGGCCTCGTCCTCATCCAATGGGTGAAGCTCGATGGTCTTGGGCAAACATATGAAAGGGAAAAAGACTTAGAAAATATAAAAGTTAAGTATGTAAATGTAATTATTTGGGCAGAAGACTAACCATGGGAACAGGCCACCCACTTGCCTCTCGAAAGCTTGCGCCATTTGCCCTCGAAGTAAGACATTTATTTGCAAATCCCCTCGATCCACTCCTTGAAGCGGGGGATTGCATTGGGAACTTGGGCGACCGCTGCACAACGGTAGACGATACAATTAGAAAAAGAATAAAAGGAAATATCAAGCACTCGAGAATGAGAAGACTTACGGGATGAGTTCCACTTTTCAGGGAACGGTAGAAATTCGGGGGGAATGAGGTCTTCGGTTTTCACCCGAATGAACCTCCCTTGCTAACCTCGATCTCGATATTCATCGATGCTCAATGGAGCTTTACTTGCTCGACGAACGAGCTTGATCAGTCCCCCTTGGAAGATTCGGGAGACTGTAGAGACTAAGCAGGTGGTCGAAGGTGAACCGAGGTGCTTCAATGTTGTTTACAATGTTCCGGAGGAGGATTACGATCCTCCAAAAGGACGGGTGAATCTTCCCAAGGCAGACCTCGTAACTTTTGCAGAAGCGGGGGATTATAGGGTCCACTGGGGAGAGCGTGAAGGGGTAAGTGTAAATACTTAAATACCCTTCCATGTAAGTGATGATGTCCTTATTGGACCTAGGAGCAACCACCTCCTTGCCCTCCCAGTTGAAGTCCACTCGGATTGTGGGGAGTATATCTTCGGTGATCGAGGATATATACCTCCATACCCTCTTGACTTTGAAGTCGTTTTCGATGGAGCATCCCCCAGGAACGAAACTCTTTAAAGGCGGCTCCGAGACCACCTCAGGAACGGACACCACGACATCTGCGGCTGGATTGGAAGTTGAAGGGGTGGTTTGTTGAGGCACGGATTTGGAAGGTTTTGCCATCGAATTCTGGAAAATATGAATATTTGAAGAAAAATATGAAGGTTTGAAGTTGGGAATGAAGATTTGAAGATGGGAATGAAGATATGAAGATCTGATTTGGTGGTTTGAAGATTTGAAGATGAAGTTATGAAGATCTGGAAAGCAATGTATGAAGAATTGAAGAGTTTATAGTTAAGTGGAGAATTCGAGAGTAAATCAAACAACTCTTGAAATCGAAAAGTAAGAAAGTGAAAAAGGGTCGAAGTTTTTATAGAGGAAAAGAGTAATCAGTGCGTGACGTTTCGCATTCGAGGATGGTCAACCGGTGGCTGACACGTGTCCGATGTCTGAACGATGCAACTGATGGGATGTTTCACTGATCTGTCAACCCGTATGTAACATACAAAAGAAGGAACTGAGGTTAATTCATCGCTTTTCGTCGCTTCGATAAATTTACTCTCCGAAAAACGAGCGGAATATCTGTGTACGGGTAAAATTAGGGGCAAAGTTTCCCCCGATTCGCCGGTAAGAGAACGAAGGGAAAGCACGGATCGACGTGATTATAATCGAGATGGGGAACCCTTCGTATCGAGACTCGGGAAGAATGAACGATGTATTGGAGATCGGACACGGCAAGGAGACATACTCTGGACCAAGTATGGCTTTTGTACCTCGGGAGACACGGTGAACGGTTATGCATGATGGATAGGTGGCCATAATTTTTGCCCTTAACCGTATTTTACGGTGTGAATCCCATTCGGTGTTCATTATAGATCAATGATTAACGAGAAAATAAGATTTTTACCTTTTTTAGACTTGTACTAGGATTGAGATTCTCCTACTATATAAGGAGAAGTTTTTCTTTAGTCTGATACATTGTAACACGCATTTCAAAGCAATAAAAGGCTACTTTTGTCCTCTAGCTATTGTTCAAGGCATTATACACTTGTTCTTTTCTACACGCACGACCGAACTAGTATCGAGGGTCCGATCAAGGACGAGCTCTACTGTTCAATCTAAGATCAGGCCTAGTCATTACATTGCTATTGGTTTGGTCATTTATTTTGTCATTAGTTCATCTATATGTTATTCTTAATTTTTCGTGTTGAATTAAACCAATTGCTAATTCAAGGCTACTTTTGTCCTCTAGCTATTGTTCAAGGCATTATACACTTGTTCTTTTCTGCACGCAGGACCGAACTAGTACTGAGGGTCCGATCGAAGACGAGCTCTACTGTTTAATCTAAGGTCAGGCCTAGTCGTTACATTGCGATTGGTTTGGTCATTTATTTTGTCTTTAATTCATCTATATGTTATTCTTAATTATTCGTGTTGAATTAAACCACGTATCCTTTAAACCGCGTACAAATTTAATTGTTACTCATTTTTGAAGTAAACAATGTTAAACAATATATTTAATATTTATAAATAATTTATTCATAACCTAATAAACTACTTTTTTGAAATTTAAAATTTATAAACTCAAGATCCTGGCTCTATTTGGTTTACCATCATAAAGACTCAAGAGTACAACGCCGATTGAAGCACCAACTTTAACTAAAGCTCACTTTAATTGTTTTCCGTTCTGGTAGAAGAGAGTTTAAAATGAAAAATTGAAAATCATAAAAGTCTACTTTTTTCGGCCGAAAAAAGGAAAAGAGAGGGAGGGATTTAATNATATATATATTATTTGCAACGAGTATTTATATTAATTTATCAATTATTAAACAATAAAGTAAGGAGAAAATAATCCTTTCACCGGCTTTTAGACATATGGAGGGCAAAAAAGGCTAAAACTAAAATTACACGTAAATGCGGAAGAAATGAAATGTTTGATGATATTGTTTGGCAATTGGCATTTACAATAAGGACAAATAATATTAGTGACGGTAAAAAAAATTCTGCGTTCGATATTTGCTACTTATAAAAGTAATGCATAAGCGTGCAGCTAGATAGTAAAAGTTTACTTTTATCTATTTAAAAATTACTACATAAAAAGTAATACTCGTTATCGATATTATTTGGTAATAATTTAAAATAATTCAAAAAATTCAAAGAAAAAAGCATGATGAAAGAAAAACACATTTGACTGTCTAAATAGTCACATAAATTGGACCTGAGGAGCCAAGGTAATACTAAAACTCCAAACATGTTAATTTATAATCTTGAATTTTCAATATGTCATATATAAATTTAAATTATAGAAACAACTACCTTCTACTTATTGCCTTGTTATAAATATATATTGTGCTTCCATTCTTTCCTTTTCTTCAAATGCCTCCTCTCTTCTTGGTCTAATTCCAGGACCCTTACAAATGGCAACTTTTGGTGCTTTAGGTATTGGTTTGAGTTTCCTTTTAGGTTGTATGTTGATGGGATTTGTTGCAGAGTTGTACTACTTATTGTGGGTGAAAAAAGGAATATCAAAAAGACCAACAGAGGATCAATACACTACCTATCCCACTGAGCTTTCTTCCATTTTCTGTTGGAAGAGATCAAATTCTATAAGACAAAATGGTACTCAAAAAGTTACCACAATTGCAAGAAATCAAGAAATTAATGGTCAAGATCAAGACTTAGAGCTAGGGACCAACAATGATTTGTTGCTGAAAGGCTATGGTGAAGATGATGTAGAGTCGTCGTCCCATCAGGAAGACTACTCTATAAAATTGGAACGATACACAGAAGATAACGCGGAGTTAGAGCTGATGAGGGTCCATAATCTTAGGTTTCTCTTCACTATTAAAGAGGAAACAAAAGAGGATTTGGAATCTGATGATGGAAAATCTAGAGGCGATAGAAGTAGAAAAGGTTCAAGAACCAGAAGCTTTAGTGACCTTACCCTTGTTCTTACTCCGTTATCCTCACCACCCGTTAAATCTCAATCTCTTGATTCATACAACAACCAAGAATTCAAGTTCAACCCTCTCTTTGAATCTGAAATTGATAGTCTAAAATCTTCACCCCCTCCTAAGTTCAAGTTCTTGAGGGATGCTGAGGAGAAACTTATAAGAAAAGTCCTTAGAAATGGGGTTAATTCTTTTCAGGATTCTATAATGAAATTACCTTCTTCAAGTTCATTTTAGTTCAGATAGAAAAATAGAAATTTGCTTGTAAAATTTCTGGATTCTTAGTTTTTTTTTTTTTTTTCCTTTTTAGCAATTGATATGGTCTCTTCGTTTTGTTGCTTTGATATTTTCATACTCATGATATTCTTAATTTGAGATAACGATATTATTATCTTTTACTTCTGAATAGAGCGAAAATGATACAAAAAATTACTCTTTACCAATTTAGGATTGAAGTGTAATTAATTGATAACAGAAAATTTTGGGACAATTTCAGATCTTCATAACACTAATGTCCATTGTAATTTAAGGACAATTTCATATTTTAATTTCTTTATAATGATTATTCTCCCTCTTCGCGAGGAGTTCCCCATTTTGCTCCATTGGTGACTCAACTCGCAACCTAAGGGTTTGAGGTGGATGAAACCTACCATTTGAATAACCTTCGTTTGTCTTATATAACAATTATTTTAATATTTTATTATTAATGTAAAAGGTTTACAATTTGACTAGTTTACTCTTACTAAAAGGCTCTTTTGTTTGCTAATGAAGCTAAAAAAAACTTGCCAATTCATTAAATAAAAAAATATATTAGTAAACGTAAAATAGTCACTCTTTGACATTTAACTAAATATATTAAAGTAATTATTAAGAACATCACAAGATATTAAAATATTTACAAAAAGTCAAAATAAAAAAGATAGACGTAATATCGGAGAGATTAGTATCACAAAATAAAAATTGAGGGGAAGTCTTTATAATTATTCATGTTATTTATCCTAACACTGAGTTGGGCCAAACTTGTAATTATTTTGAGGAAACTTTCTTTTGGTAATAAAGTGGGGGAAAGGTGTTATTCTATTCCTGGTAGTTGGAGCACATGAATTCATCTCATGCCACATTATGTTGTCCCAATTATTCCTTGCTATTTGTTGGCAAAATTTAAGGTGATAATTGATTCTCAAGAATTAAGTCCATCGGATACTTTTAATTCCAGACAGGCTTCTTTAGCTATGATATCATAATATGGTGCGGCAGACTCCAACTGTTTAATTAATGCATTTGACAGTTCTATAACCTTTTTGCGTAAATACGATGTCATGATTAAATAATATATTATGGTAAAATATACATAGAATAATTATATTTAAGTAATAGAAGTGCATGGAAAAAAATACATGTCAGGTATATATTTACTGTTTTGATTCAAATACAGAGTGCATTTTTTTTCCGGAAGGTATAAAGCTTAGATTAAATTCAAGTTGCTTTCATTTCATTCTCAATTTATGCCTAAAAGAAATGCTCTCTCGCTTTTCCTCTTAGATGGCACTTCTCTTCTTCTCTATTAAAAGTGCGACTTTTTGCACATAGTGCATATAGTGAGCACACTCGAATTTACATTGGCACAGGCTTAGGAGGAAGTCATGTATTCAAACAAGCTCAAAAGTTGAAAAAGTGTGTATTGATCGTTCACTTGTAATATGTTAAGAAACTTAGGTTATGGTAATGGTCCAAAATCATATAACAACGCAACAATCCATTTTTCCAATCATGTGAGACACATAACATAACATCTTTCGACATTTTAACCTACAAATCAAAATTTTGAGTCACGATGAGTCAAAATTTTGTTTCACAATGAAACAAGTGAGAAATCACTCTTCATCCGTCAAGGGTGAAGTTTAAAACAAGGGTGATTTTGGTCCTTGAATTATTCTCTTATTCCGCTTTTCGTCCTTGTGTCATTCGACTAATTACCTCTAACTTTTAATTCAATTAATTGTGTAGTTTTGATCCCTAAGCTAATAGAAGCTAACAGAACTCTATTAAGCTAACAAAATATATATTAAGAAAATGAAAATACATAAGAAGAGGTATAAGACAGGGTGACCCTATGTCCCTTTATTTGTTTGTTATTGTTATGGAGTATTTGCAAAGGGAACTTGCACAGCTGACAAAGAACAAAAACTTTAAATTCCATCCCAGATGAAAAAAGCTAGGAGTGATTCATATATGTTTTGCAGATGACCTATCGATGTTTTGTAAAGCTGATATTACATCTATCAGATTGCTGCAGCAGACATTCCTCAAGTTCTCAAGCTCATCTATCCTCCAGGCAAATGCAGAAAAGAGTTCTATCTATTTAGCAGGCATCTCTGTAACGATCCGGACGGTCATTTTGAGTATTATAACCCCGTTCCCTAATTTACTGCTCAATTTATGCCTTACAATTGATTTATGACTTATCGAATTAGTTGGTTCAGGTCCGGAAGGATTTCGGAGTGAAATGAGACACTTAGTCTCATAATTGAAAACTTAAGTTGAAAAAGTTGACCGGATATTGACTTATGTGTAAGCGACCTCAGAATTTAATTCTGATGATTCCAATAGCTCCGTATGGTGATTTTGGACTTATGAGCATATCCGAAAAATTCTTTTGAGGTCCGCAGTGGAATTAGGCTTGAAATGCCAAAAGTTAAATTTTTGAGAAGTTTGACCGGGGGTTGACTTTTTGATATCGATGTCGGAATCCGATTCTGGAAATTGGAATAGTTTCGTTATGTCATTTATGACTTGTGTACAAAATTTGAAGTCATTCCGGATTGATTTAATGTATTTCTGCACAAGATATAGAATTTGAAAGTTCAAAGTTTATTAGGCTTGAATTGAAGTGCGATTCGTGATTTTAGCATTTTTTTTGATGTGATTCGAGGCTTCGACTAAGTGCGTATGATATTTTAGGACTTGTTGGTATATTTGGTTGAGGTCCCGAGGGACTCGAGTGAGTTTCGGGGTGGTTTCGGCCCATTTCTAGGCTATTTTTAATTGCTGGTTTTTGCCTACAGAGGTGTGCATTGCGATCGCGAACATTTGGTCGCGTTCGCGAAGAGCAAACAGCAGTTTGGGGCCTTGTGAATCGCGATCGCGGAAGCTCTTTCGCGATCGTGTAGAACAAAATCTCTACTGCACTTACCCGATTTTGGAAGCTTATATATCGCAATCTATAAGGAATTTAGAGATAATCAAAAAATAAAAGTTGTAACCCTTGATGTCTAGTTTTCAGAAAGGTAAACCATTTGTCATTTGAATTTGTATACAAAAGGTTATGGTCGATACACTATGGGCTGTCTGGTAAGAGTTTTGAAATCTCTGTTTCATATAGCTGACTTTGGAAGCTTATATCTAGAAATATATAAGGAATTAGGAGATGAGCAACAAATGAATGTTATAGCTCTTAATGTCTAGTTTTCAAAAGGTTAAACCATTTACAATTTAGAGTTTTTTACAAAGAGTTATGACCATTATACTAGAGGTTGTCTGGTAGAGTTGGGGAGTTTTTTCTTCGCGATCGCGAAAAGCAATTTTGGGTCTGAAAAATTTTGTTCTTCGCGATCGCGAAGAGTAAATGCCTGGACAAAAGATATATTTTGAGGTTTTGGCCATTTTAACACATTTGAAGCTATGGAATTCGGATGGAAGCGATTTTTGAGGTGATTTTCACCATATGGATTGGGGTAAGTAATTCTAACTCGATTTTGGTTAAATTACACGAATCTATTATTATTTTTATCAATAAATTAGTGTTTTTGGTTGAAAATAGTAGAAACAATTCATAAACTTTAATTGAGGATTTGAAGGCCGAGTTGTGGTCGGATTTGAGTAATTTTGATATGGTTGGACTCGTGGTTGAATGGGGGTTCGGATTTTGTGTGTTTTATCGGATTCTGAGATGTGGGCCCCACGGGTGATTTTTGGGGCGTAATTTCGGATTTTTGGAAAATTTTAGTATTTTGATATGAAATTAATTCCTATAATTTTTGTGGGCCGAATCAAATTAATTGTGACTAGATTCGAGCCGTTTGGAAGTTGATACGTGCAGAATGAAATTTCTGGAGCATTGCTTAGCTTGCTCGACATTAGATTTGGCTTGTTCGAGGTAAGTAACTCTTCTAATCTTGGAGCTGAGGGTATAAACCCTGAATATATGTATTATGTGAATTGTTGGGAGGTGACGCACATGCTAGGTGATGGGCGTGTGGGCGTGCACTATGAAAATTTTGACATAATTGTTTCCGTGGAATTTTATAGTAAACTAATCTTGGAATTTTCCTTGTGTTGTCATATGTTAAAGGAATTTGAGCTGAGAATCACATTGAAATCATATTGAGGCTATGTGCCAGTATTATTAGGACCCACAGAGGTCGTATCGCTGTGAATTATTTATTTTAAATTCAAAATTCATACTCAATCATATTCGTTTCATTGCATATCATATCTCAGTCTCTGTTGTTATTTATTGATACATCATATCATCATTTTCGGGCTATTTTTATGATATTGTGAGCCCGAGAGACTGGAGAGATTGATGACTGAGTGAGGCCGAGGGCCTGATTGTGAGGATAATTATGGGATCGGGTTGCATGCCGCAGCAGGCCAGATTGGCTTATTATAGCACGTGAGTTGTCCGTGCAGATCCAAATATTATTATAGCACATGAGTTGTCCGTGCAGCACGTGAGTTGTCCGTGCGGATCCAGATATTATTATAGCATGTGAGTTGTCAGTGCAGCACATGAGTTATCCGTGCAGCACGTGAGTTGTCCATGTGGATCCAGATATTATTATAGCACGTGAGTTGTCCGTGCAGCACGTGAGTTATCCGTGCAGATTATAGCGCTTGAGATGAAGGAGCCCCTCCGGAGTCTGTACACACCCCTAGTGAGCGCAGGTACCTACTGAGTGTGATTGTCGAGTGCCGAGCAATTGGGAGGACTGAGTGATTGGGAGAACTGAGTGACTGTGAGGACTGAGTGAAATAATACTCTGAGAATATGCATATGATTTTATCACTGAGTTGCATCGCATTGACATGCATACATGACATACAGGCATAGAGATATATTTTTCCCATGCTGTACAGTATCACATCATTCATGGTTTCTCACACATGTTGACAGACGGGCATAGTGATGCATTTGTTTTTACACAGGTTATCTGGAAAGAAAATGAAACATCTCATTTATTATTGAAAGGATTTTGGAAAAATTATTGTTTTCAAACTTATTCATATTTTTGGCAACTTCGGTAA